CGTCCTGTTAATCGCGGTATTGTTCTTGCCAAGCTCTCGCACACTTTTTTCTCTGATCTGCTGAACCCTTGGAAGGTACGTAGGTTTCTGACAGTTTTCTGCCCCCAGACATGAACTCAGGCTCTTCGGCAGCTGCCAGCAGTTCCCTGGGGAGATAGCAGTGCTGGAGCAGGGAGTGGACTGGGACATCAGTGCATTCATGTGTAAGCTTTGCCTCTTCCCAGCTGTGTGACCTTGGGCAAGTCTCATCCCCTGGTCAAGCCTCAGTTTCCCCATCCATAGACTGGAGGCACCACCAAGGGCAGCTAGAAAGAGGAAGTGAAAAATGGTTTGAGAAGCACCTTGCCCTGGTGACCACCACAGCATGGAATGCACAGGTTTGAGGACCGAGGAGATCGCATGGAGAAAAGGGACACAGAGAAGGAAGGAAACTGCAGGCCACATGGTAGCTGATGAGCCAGGCTTTATGTCCCTGCTCTGTGCTACCTGCCTCCTCCAGTAGCTGGTCCCTGGAGGCTGTCAGACTGTGCCCAGTGGAAGGTCAGGGCCAGGTCTGGCCTATACTCTGCTCCCCACATATCCTGCCCTGGCACAGTCCTACTTGTGCTCCATAGAAACAGATTTTTCCCCCTCTGATCTGAAGCACACAGGGCCTATAACTACTGGGCAGGGCACCTTTTCTGTTTGTAAATTAATGTTCTTTTTTTATTTTTATTTTATTTGTGTGTGTGTGTGTGTGTGTGTGTGTGTGTGTGTGTAACCAGGGATTGAACTCAGGTCTTTGCACTTGCCAGGGAAGTGTTTATTCTACTGAGCCATCTCCCCAGCCCCAAATTAATGTTCTTTTAAAGGAGACCACCCAGCCTCACCACTGTTAAGCCCTGTGATGCCCCTCAAAAACCAGCCTCCTTGGCCCTGCCCTTAGCTCTAGCTTCTGAACTCCCTGTACCCTCTCCTCTCTTCCCCCTTCCCCATTTCCCTCTCCACTCTGTGTCTTTGCTTCTCGTTGGGCTATTGTGTCTCTTTCTCTTTCTGTCTCCTTTTCCCTCTCTCCCTACCATTCTGTCTCTTGCTGCCCTCTCTGGCCCACCTCCCCTTTCCACTCTGTCCTTCCATCTGTTTTCCAGAGCTCCCTTCTTCCACGCTCCTCAGTGTTGTCTCTGCTGTCCCTGACCTCCCTCTTTGTCCCCATGCCTGTAGGTGACTGGCCCTCCACTGAAACCCATCTCTCTTTCCCTTCTGCTGTCCGAGAGGCCTCAGCAGATGAAGTGGAACATGTCTTCCTGCAGAGTGCTGACCAGAGCGCAGCTGGAAGTCAGTGCTGGGGAGAGCTGCTGAGCAGTGGCCAGGAGACCCCAGGAGCCTGGACAAGCCAGCCAGGCTGAGCCCCAACACTACGGAGCCCTTGGGAAACTTTCCACAACCTTCCTACAGGTTCCAGCTTGGGTGTGGCCCTTTTCTCAGGGTTTCTGACCTTGGAGGCAAGCCTAAGCCCTGTCTGCCAGCCGCTGGGGACAGCATGCGCTGGAGCCTGACTCAGGGCTGTGCAAGGGCCAGGCTCTGGGACTGGTGGAGCCAGGAGGAACGTCACCAATGAGTAGGGCAGCACTGGGCTATGAAGGGAGGGGACTCGGGTCTCCTGGGGCTAAGATGAGATCATGGAAAGGATACGGAGTAAGAGGTTGTGTCACTCATTCATTCAACAAACACCCACAGAGCCACTGGGCATGCCTGACTGAGCTCAAGGACAAAGATGAATGAGGCCTGGCCCAGCCCTTGAAGAATGTCCCATTTCCAGCTGTCAGCTCTGGGGCGTGGCAGGACTACTGAGCTGCAGCCAGGAGAGGAAACCCACAAGAACAGTGAGCATTCTCTGCAGCACAGGCATGAGTATCCAGGTGGTGGCATCAGGGTCTCTAGAGTGACCGGAGGAGGATGAGGGGGAGGAAGAAGAGTCCACACAGAGTGACTTGGGCTGGGCCAGCAAAACCAGTGTGGACTCAGGACCCGCTTGGAGAGAGGCCAAGTTGCTTTGGGCTCTGTGAAGGGTTAGGTGGCTGGGCAAAGGGAGCTGACAAAGGTGACAATTACAGAGCCGTCGGTGTGGTATGGGACGGGGTGGTGTTTGTGTATGGTGTGTGAACAGAGTGCAGGGAGAGAGACCCAGGGCCCTGCATTAATTAGGCAGGGAAAGGAGCCTACTGAGGGTACAGCTGGAAAGGAGAGGGCCTGTGAGCAGTGCAGAGGGCAGATGGAGCAGGATGGGCACTGGGAAGAAGCAGCTGCTGCCAGCCCATTGTGGGGTCCCCTGAGACCAAGCCACAAAGAGAGCAGAAAGTAGGCACATGGGCTGGTCATGCACAGCTTGTATCACTCAGCCCCAGGGCACAGCTGTGTGAAACACTGCCTCTTGGGGCTGTGAACAGCAGGGGCACCTTTCCTGCCATCCTATGGACAGGTGAGGGAGGACAGTGTGGTTTGTGAAGGAAAAAAGACAGGAATTCAAAGTCAGTGTGTCTGCATCCATTTTTTGCCACAACTTCATCTTCTCTTTGGGGTCTTCAGGAGACCGGTAGTGTGGAAAGGTGGAGAGAATAGCTTGGATCCCTGAGCAGACAGAAACGCTGCTGAGGGAGGCCAAGGGTTCCACAGCATCCCGCAAGGTGCTGCAGGTCTGGGCTCTGCCAGGAATGAGCCAAGGCATGGTCTTCTCTGTGTCCCCAGACTCAGGCCAGCCATACTGCAGTCAATGGACTATTAATGCTTCAGGGGCCTGAGGCCCTTCCTGGCCAACTATACCAGAAGGCAAGCCAGTGGGGCTGGCTCTATTCAAGCCAGTTCATCACCCAGGATGGCACTCTGGCCTTTCCAAAGGACATGCACTTCTCTGCCTCAGGATGGCTTCACAGCTGCTCTAAGAGCTGTTCCAAGGGCCACTGGACCATCTGACACGTGGGGAAGCAGAGGTTTACAGCAGAGAGCCACTGCTCAGGATCACAGGCTGAGCGGAGCCTGAGTCTCCTGTGCTCAGCTGCATAAGGTCAGGCCAGAAGCCCTGAGAGGCCCTGGTGGAGCCTGTGCTGTGTGCATCTCCTCTGAGGTAATGTCCTACACATGCCTCCCACCCCCCAAGGCTTCACACATGCTGCGCCGCATGCCTACAGCACCTTGCCAGGCGCTACAGCCTCCTTCCTCACCTCACTAACAATGCCTCCTCTTGCAGAGATGCCTCCCAGTCTCTGTGCTTCCCCCTGCACCATCTCCATTGCACCGCTGCTGTTCTTACCGTGCCTAGCTGCCCAGCTCTAGTTATGCAGTCAGAGAGGAAAGGGAGGACGAGATGTCTTTCCATGAAGTTCTTGAGACAAACACCTCCCCCATAGCCTGAGCTAGAGGGCAGGGGGGTACCTGAACACTGCGACCAGTCCTTTTGTGTCCCGTAGAGGAATCCAAGGGCACCAGACATACTGGCAAGGGGACACTGGGCTAGAACCCTCTGCCATTCCCAATCCAGTGCTCTTTCCTATGATGCCCAGGTGTGATCATAGGGACTGTGGCAGGCTGGAAGAGAAAGCTGACTGGGCTGGGGTAGGTATGTAGGGTGGCAGCCCCTGTGCAGGCCCCACTGACCTGTCTGTGCCGGAAACCTGCCGTTTGTCCACTCTGCTCCCCTCTGCCTCCTGAGGACTGTCAGTATGCTGAGCTCCCTACTTCCCACCTGTCACCACCCATCATAGGCAATCAGAGTCACAGGACAGGATTTCCCCCAGGTTCTGGAATGAATGGTGAGCAGGAGGGGAGAGTGCTGCCTGGGCAGGTGGGGCTGAGGGGGTGACTTACGGGGGAAGCACCCTCAGATCTGGAAAAACACCCTTCCAAACTGAAGCTGCTCACATTGGAGAGCTGAGGAGACTGAGACCTGGGAGGCAGAGGGACGCCCCTGGGCCCTGGCTCCCGCAGCACCTGTGTCCACTGTCACTGGCCTCCCAAGGAAGATTTCTGTGCATAATCTGTGAGAGGCTTCCCTGAGTTCCCAGCCTTGGTGCCTGCATCCTGATGAAGAAAAGGCAGTTCCTTTCTCTTCTGGAACTCTGGATTATATTATTCATTTGGGTGTTCAGGGAGTTTAGCACAGAGTTGGCCCCAGAGTGAGCATGTCATAAATGTTGAATGAATAAATGAATGAATGAATGAATGAATGAATGGTGAGTGGAGGTAAGAGGAAGCTCCCCTCCCTGCACACACCTCTGAGGCTGTGCCTGGAGGGTTGGGTTGGCTTTCTTTCGCACCTCCTCTAGGCCTCTGGGAGGGTGTCTTCCCCAGTGCCATCTTATACCTCAGTGAGTTCTCAGTGGCCATGCCAGGGCCTGGGCTGCCACGTGTGCTCCACACAAGCTGGGTAGATAGGTAGGTAAATGGTGAACAAATGAATAGTCGATCCCAGCTATGCCAGGCATTTGCAAGACAGTGGCTGTGTGAGTTCTGCCCCCTGAGACCTGTTGAGTGGACTCATGAAAAACACAGAGAGCCTGCTCCCACACTGAGGGAAGAAGGCACGGTTTGCGTGGAACTTAGAAAGATGAGCCATGGACCTTCTGGGGCTGGAGGGTTTCTTGGAGTTGGGCCTAGTGAGACTGGCAAGAAGGGGCAGGGTCATCTCTGTGCAGGAGACTCAGTGATGCCCCAGAAAGCACCAGGAGACCTCATCACCAGGCAGCTGTTGTTACAACAACCCTGGGGAAGGACATTAAGTTGTCTCACTCTACAGATGAGGCTGCTGAGGTATAGGGAGCTTGTGAGCAACAGAGCCAGAACCTGGACCTGGGCATGATAGCACTAGGACTGTGTCCTTCCCACTGAGCCTTACTGCCTGTCAAGGAGTTTGGGGCCCTGACTGGTGCAGTCTGCTGGCCCAGTCACAAACCCAAGGGGTGGCCCAAGCTGTCCTCACTGAGTAGCAGCCTGGTAGGAGGCTGAGCATACTCTGTCTTGTATTCCAGGTCACTTTCTGGGGAACAATACTGTCATTGACGTTCTGCGGCAAGCAGGGCTGGAGGTGGATCATACACCTGCTGGGCAGGCCATTGACAGGTGAGCCACAGGGCATCTGAGGGCATCTTGAAGCTGGACAGCTGGCTTACCACTGCCTGGCCACGGTTCAGATGGAACCATGTGCCACGTGGCTGCTGCCCCTGCCTTCCTGCTCAGGTCCAAGGGTGGACAGGTAAAGAAGCTGGTGGTCAAAAGGGTGCTCATGGGGACAGGCCAGAGCCATGACCAGAGGGGACCTGGAAGTGGGAGTGTGGAGAGAAGGTTTGAGTGTGCTCCTGATGGGAGGCTGCAGCAGGGCTGAGATGGCAGTGGGAATCTGCTGATCCCACCAGATGATCCTGGTAAGCAGCACTAGGGTGCACAAGAGGCTTGGGATTCGACACTGGCAAATTAGGGAGATAGGGCAGAAGTGACTGTGGATGGCTGCCTGGAGGGCTCAGCGGATACTCAACCCAGAGCCAGGATGGTGCTATGGCAGATGTGCTATGGTCTGACATCTTCCTTGTGCTGCCCACTCACAGCGCCCTTACCATCTCCACTGCCACCTCAGTCTGTGTCCCTAGCTCCTGTAAAGGCACACCCACTGTGCTCATGGAGCGACTGTCCCACATCCTCTCCTCCTGCGGGAGTTCCTCTCCACCACCACCAAGTCTGAAAGCTACCCAAGGGGAAGGACCAGCTCCACCTGTGGCTTACAGCACCAGCACCAGGCAAGAGCCAGGCTGGATCCTGGGCAGCTCTGGAAGGCAGTGTCAGGATCCTCAGCCTCAGGGTCCAGTGCAGCCCATGCCCCAGGCTTATGCAGGAACCTTCCCCGCCAACACACAAGGCTGGGCGCAGCATGATTTCAGCTCCTGTCTCCAATGTTACAAGACACAGAGTCCAAAAGAAGCTTGAATAATCATAGCCAATAGTTATTGCTACTTACTCTATACTGGACTCTAAATGACTTCTGTGTCATTTGATCCTCACAGCAATCTCAGGGCAGGAACTGTTAGTATCCCTAACTTGTCTTGGAGGAAGCTGAGCCCAAAAGTCACCTTTCAGAGGACTCACAGCTTGCGTAAGAGACCAGCCTGGCTCCTGGTCCTCCAAAGCTCCTGATCACTTCCTTGCCCACTCTAGTGATGGCATGGGAGTTCCGGGGTGACTGTGGCTTGATCTTCAGGGGTGAGGCTGGGCGGGTCACATAGCGCATGAGTCACTAGGCTCCTAGACCCAGACCAAAGCTCCCCCAGCTGCATGGTCCTTCCAGAAAAATTTACAAATGCTGGAACTGGGCCTCAATCCCAGCCTCCCACTTCTCATCTTCTGGGTTAACCTAAAAGGCTGCTCTTTGCACTGGAATCATTTGAGCCCAGCACCCAGCGGTGTGTGTTGAGTGTTGGGGGGTGTTTGAGAGATCCAAGGTAGCCTTGGGGTCAAGGTGTCCCTCAGGTTCCCTCTGTTCCCCTTGTCCCACTACTGCCCTCATATCCCCAAGGTTTTCTCCTTGAAGCTCATTGTGCGTGGCCAGCCAGGATACAGAAGGTAGGCAGACCACAAGGCCAGAGGATGGAGAACCTCCTATTAATTTTGAAGCCGGAGGTGTCCCCGACTGCACCCCCACAGTCTCTCCTCTGAAGGCTCTCAGGCTTAGCCTCCTACACAGGGGAACAGGCAGCTGGCAGGGCTGTGGCGGGGGAAGGGATGCTGAGGAGGCTCCAACAATAAAAGCCATCCTCAACCACAGGTGCTTCCTGGCTCTATCTTTCTGTCTGACTGTTTTGAGTTATCTCCCTAACAGCTGCGGCATCTCCAGCAGCCTGGACCCTAGGAATCCAGGCTTTCTGTGAGGGCAGGGAGAGGCTGAGCTGATGGTCTTTCATTTCTTCAAAGGGGAAGAAGCCCCTCAGTCATTGTGGAGAGTAGCAGAGCGGTGGGAGGACAGGCTGCTCGTGGCCCTTGGTACCACCTCCTTTGCAAGCTGCCCGCTCACAGTTCTCGAAACTACTCCCAACCTCTCTCCTGAAGAAATTCCACTGGGATCATGGGAAGGAAAGAATAAAGGGCAGAAGAGCAGAGCCTGCACCCCACTTAGAGGCGCATATGTGCATGTCCACATGGGGCATGAATGCCACAAGCATATCCACATAGCACTTGCCTGCCTGATGCCCAGGTCCTTTACCTGTTGGCGGACTCAGAAAGAGGCTTGTCAGTCCAAAGCAGAGCTGGGCCTTCATCTCATCCCTCCCTAACACCTCTGCAGCAGAGGTACCAGTGGTACCACTCCCTGTTCAGATCCAACTGCTGTTCAAGATGATGGCAGTAGGCCTCTAGTCTCACAGCCTGCAAGTTGCAGAGCCAGATGTGAGCCTCTCATCCGGCTGCTTCCAGCTCCAGCTCTAAGGACCTGACCCTGTCCTACTCCCACTGAAAGGGTTCACAGTAGATGTGTGTGGAATGTAGGCTCGGACGGTGAGATGAATTAAAGTAACATGGTGCACACAAACAGCACTGACCACTAAGCTGCTTGGGCTGCTCACTGTTGCCAGGCAGTGTGGGAAGCGCTTGTTTGCTTACATCATCCTCATGAGGCCCCTGTGAGGTATACTCGGTCATGGCCCCATCTTACAGAAAGGAGACCCAGGCACGGTGGGGCCAGGTGTTCACACCCAGTCCCTCAGACTGTTGATGAGTGAGACCCTGCAGAGAACACATATGCCCTAGAGAAATGTCCAGGGTTCCTCCCACACCCACTCCTAGTCTGGGGCTCACTTGTCACCTGCTGGTACCTGCTGATACCACCTTCCTGGACCAGCATGTGCCATGCTCTTGTGCACACCTCTGCCCTGGGTCTCCTCAGTAGTTGTGGGCACCTGCCATCCTGTGTGGCTTCCCCTGTGTTTAGCTTGGGAATGTGAGCTTTAAGAGGTGGCATCTATTTGGGTCATTGCTGATGACCCAGTCACTAGGCCAATGGCTACTGCAAGGTGGGAACTCAATAAAGATGTACTGGCCACATCAGAAGGAATGAATGCTCTCTCTCACCTCAGACAGTGGTTTAGGGGCACCCTGGCCTAGACTCCTACCGTATTGACTTTCCCACAAACTGCATTCCCTGTTGTGCGCACATAATATATTCACCAGCTGTTCCCCTTACTAGCCCTGCTGCCAGGAGCTCAGCGCCACCCTCTCCTGAGATCTCAGCCAGCCCAGCCCCAGCAACCCCAGCAGCTGCCATCCCTGAAGCACCCTCAGCGACTCCCACTGCCACCCCTGAGGAGGAGGATCCAGCCCTGTCCCCACACCTCCTGCTCCCCGACAGCCTTAGCCAGCTGGAGGAGTTTGGGCGACAGAAGAAGTGGCACAAGAGACAAAATAAGCACCAGCGGCCAAGGCAGTTCAACGACCTCTGGGTCCGAATTGAGGACAGGTGAGTGAGGGCAGGGGGGTTGCCTGAGGGCTGGGTGTTGGCATCCCCAGGCCAAAGCACCACCATCGTGAGTCCTGCTTGGATCAATCACATCAGGGGGCATCTGAACGGAAACTTCTAGGCTGGCTCTTCCACATTCATGAAGGATCCCCGAGCATATCTTTAAGGACTCACAGAAGAACATTATTCTCAATACAAAAGCAAATACAATTCTATGCATTTTAAAGGTGAAAAAGTAGAAACTTACTCAGGTACAGTAGATAAGCCTGCTTTGGCCTCCTTGGGCTGCATCCAGAGTGCCGGGGGGTGCCATTGTCCTGTGCACTGGGGACAAAATGAAGAGTGAACACACCACAGACTGGTTACCCTCTGAGGCCTAAGCTGCCTGTGCCCTGGAAGGTCTAAACCTGGCAGGGGCACAGCAGAAGGGACTCGTTCTTTATAAGAAAGGAGACTGAGGGCGACTGATAGCCAAATGCAGAGACTGTCACAGGGGTGTTGTGGTAAAACTTACTGTAAGTGAGCGCATGCAGAAATCATCCAAAAGTTCCTGCGGTCACCAAGATGCTGTCTGCCATTCTCCACCTGGAGCCTCTATACAGAGCCATATCCCTAGATTCCCCTGTGTGGTCAGAATCTCCATACATTGTAAAGAATGTCACCAGAGCATCAGGAAGTCCCAGGGATGGAGTATCAGTGAAAGGGCAGAGCGCCACCCAGGCCAATCGCCCAGCCTGGGCTGAATGCCTCAGCAGTGGGCCTTTGGAATCTTGACCTTTCAGGTGTCATCCAGTTTTCCTCAACAACCTGGACAAAATCACCCTCAGAACTTCTAAATAGATAAATAACCAGGAAGCCTCGTGGATGTGCACCTGGAGATTCCTCCATGGAGCTTTGGGACGCACTGGCCCAATTGTGTGTTTATGGACAAACTAAGGCCTGGAGCTTCAGAGCTCCACCAACCATGGAGCCAGGGGCTGCCTTCCACTTCCCAAATCCTACTTCTCCAGCAGCCACATAACTCAGCCATTGATCAGGGGCCAGGAAGATAACTCAGTGGAATAAGCGCTTGCCTGATAAGCACAAGGTCCTGAGTTTGATCCCTGGTACCACTAAATAAATAAATAAATAAATTAAATTAAATTAAATCAATATATCCCTCCTTCCCATCATAAAGGACATGTTATAAAGAGATTTCCAGAAAATCAGTATTGAGCCCACCTAGCCTTTGGACATTTTTTTCAGAGTACCTGACTCTGATTGATAGAAATGTATTTTTGCAGAGCTGTCCTGGGCTGTGCATGCCCAAGGCAGAGGCATGTGCTGCAGCCCATTGGGCCAGGCACCCAGCACCAGCCTCCTCCTTCTGACCAGGGGTGCAGGCACTTCCTTCCCAGGGAGCAGGACATACAGGCTGCCAGCAAGGCTTCTGTGGTGTACAAGCTGGCAGCTAATTAGGAGCTGATTAGATTGGTCACCTGCAACCCTGATCGGCTCCTTAAGGCGACCAGGAGACCAAGCCAGCAGAGGCTCCAACACAGAGGGTGATAGGAGGCTGGGCTTGTCAGCCACAGCAACAAGCCCCCAGCCCCTAGCCATATCTGAAAGGTAAATGTGGACAAATGACACCACACAGTTTCCTTTGCACAACATGTGAATCCAAAACACAGAGCCTAGTTCAGGAGAAGAAAATGGCCTGTCTGTGGTGGAGGGCAGCCCTTTCTGCATCCCAGTGGGTACATGGCAGCTGGCCAACACTCCACCACCTGGTCGATGTGGAAAAGGAAGTTTCCACCAAAGGGCAGCCTGTTGACTAAAAGTCTCTTGCTGCTTCTTGGGGAACCAGGTCCTTAGTTCCCGAAAAGGCCCAGCTGTAGGTCACAGGTTCCCTGGCTCCTGGAGAACTCATGTCACCCTCTTGAGCACGCCAACTCAAGAGGACAGAAGAGATCTCTCTGGTGACCACCTGGAGCACATTTGTAGCCCCTCTAACAGACCTTTTCCTTGAAGTTCTCTCTCATTTTCTTCCCCCTAAGTCTCACAGGAGCCACTCCTCCTCTCTGCCCTCTCCCTCTTCTGCCTGCAGCCCTGCAGGCCTCCCAGTCTTTCTCTTGCCCTTAGTCCCTGCTCAGCTGATCCTGCAGTTCCCTGTGGCCACTAGGAAGACTTCCCAGACACAAGACCTTCACGCCTCCCCCACCCCCACCCTCCTGCTCCTCCGCCCAGATCCTGAAGGGACTGTCCCTGCTAGACTGGGTGCCAGGACTCCACACCTGTGACTTGCTGCTCTCTGCTCCAAGAGGGGTGCAAGTAAGTTCACTGGGCTCTGCTCTGTGCCAGGCACTCACACCTAGGGTCCCTGTTCTGCCAAGAGACACAGAAGGCCAAGCCAGTTTATAAGCAAGGAGACACTCAGCCAGATCAGTGAACTTGCCTAAAAACCTGTAGAATCCTGGAATGTTTGTACCTAACACTAAACATCGCTCTCGTCACCCACTGCCATGTAAGTGTGCCCTTCCCACCCCCCACCTGTCTGGGCTCTCTGCTGACCCCACCCCAAGCAGCCCCTGCCCTGTCCACACTGTCCACACCACAGTCCTGCTCTGTGCTTCTGGGCTATGTGTCCATGGAAATCAGGCGAGGGCTGCACTGCTGTGGGTCACCTGAGGCCTTGGTGGGGTTTATTTGCTGCAGAGAGGGGGTGGGGTAGTGTGTGGGCTGCAAGTGCCTGGCTGGGACACCACCTGGAGCAGGATGGCCTCCCCTCGCCCCTCATTACCCATTACCCAAGATGTAAACACAGCAGAGGAAGTTTAGAGAAGCAGCAGCCCGTGGCAGGATGATTTATGGCGACCCATGGAAAGGCCTGAGAGAGGGTCGTAGTTGGCTGTGCAGTGGCAGAGCACTCTCCAGGATCCCCCACCTCTGGGAGCCAGAGGTAGGCAGCAAGGAAGGGTGTGACCCGGCCAGCTACAGCAGAAGCCCTTCCCGTGCCATGTGGACTTGTGGCGATCCTTCTATGTCTCCTTTTGCACAATTAGGGGCTTTGGCTGGTGTCTGGGAGGTCAAGTTAGCTCTTGGTCTCTAGGACCAAAAGATTTCAGAAACACAGGCTTGTGTGCATGCAGGATTGTGTGTACATGTGTGTGTGTGTGTGTGCGCGCACATGCTTGCATGCACGCACTTTGAGGGTTGAGAGTTGTACAAATAAGAGGGCAGAGTGGCCAGCCCAGCAGGACTGAAAGGAGAGCAGTACCTCCCAGGTATAGGAAAGAGTAGCTCCTGAGTGCTGGGCCTGGCCCAGAGCAAAGCCCACAGGTGGGCAGAGGCACATGCCAGACCCGAAGCTTTGGCGAGTACCACCAGGCGGGCGTGGGAGTACGGGACACACTGCACCAGGGCTCATTGCCCTCTGGGTCTGTCTCGCCCGAGGTTTGCTGTTGGGGGGCAGCATCCCCCTGCTGGTGCCCCCTTTCCACCCAAATTGTCCATCTCCAGTTCCCCTAACACAACCAATCCTTTTCCTGGAGTGGCCAGAATAGTAGAAGATGCCTTGCGGGAGCATGCCCATGCAGGAAGCAGAATCATCCAAGGAAAAAAGCAGAGGCAAACTGAGGCAGCCCCAGGCTCAAATCCCAGCCCCTCCTTTCTTTTTTCTGCCACTCAACTTTTAGTAACTGCCTGTTATATTTCTTTTCTTTCTTTCTTTTTTTTCTGTATTTAGGACAGGGTCTCACTATGTAGATTGGACTCGTAGTGATCCTCCTGTTTTCAGTTTCCCAAGTGCTGGGATGACAGACACGTGCCACCATACCCAGTCTCAATTGCCCTCTTAGCATGCCGGGGGACGGGGCTGGCATGGCAAGCCGGGAACCTAACCCTGGCTGCTGTGCTCTGCCTAAGCAGACGCTTTAGTCTGCTGAGCCATCAGGCCGACCCCTAAGTATGCCATTTAGTTTACAAAGTTGATCTTTTCTTTTTCTTTTTCTTTTGGTACTGGGAATCAAACTCAGGACCTCACACTTGCCAGGCAGGTGCTGTGCCACTGAGCTATATCCCTAGCTTCCCAGACCCTCCTTGTACTTGCTTTGGGACAAAAAGATTCAGTGCCTGTAGAGCACTAAGCTGGTATCAGATCAGCAGTAACATTGTAGCAACTCACCCCCCACCCCCCACCCCACCCCCAGTCCCCGCCCTGCTGATGCCTTTGACTTTTAGAATCTGGTCTGGTCTGCCAACATGGCCTAAGCCATTAGGAGAAGGCTGGGAACTCCCCCTCACCTAGCAGAAATGGGCATCTGTGTGCAGTGGGTATAGGTGCACGTGGCAGCTGCCCAGTCCTGTGGGGACAAATGGCTCCTCAGTATGGCATCATCGGACAAGCCCCAGAACCTAAGGTCCTGGATGACCCTGGACGTTTTCATCTCTGGACGTTTTGCATCTCAGGGCTAAGCAGGCCCTGCCAGCTTTGATGTGCTGTGAAGCTTTTAGGAATCATGCCAGACGAGGGCTGGCCAAATAGCTCAGCAGATTAAAGCGCCTGCTTAGGCAGACACAGGGGCCGGGAGTACAATCCCCGGCCTGCTGTGCCGGCCCCACCCCTGGGGCACCCTGAGAGGGTGATAAAGACTGGGCGTGATGGCGCATGTCTGTAATCCCAGCACTTGGGAGGCTGTAAACAGGAGGATCACTACGAGTCTGATCTACACAGTGAGACCCTGTACACCCTGTCCTAAAATACAAAAATAAATAAATAAATATTTTTAAATTAAAATTTAAAAAATAAAAAACATGTTTAGGAATCATGCCAGACAGTCTACCCATGCACTTCAGACTGAGAGAAGGTGAGGCTTCCCCCATGCAGGAGACCTGGGCACAAGGGGTGAAGGCCGCAGACACATAGGTTGTAGGAGATCAGGGTTCAGGCAGTCTGGCTACACGGGATCTCAACCTGTCTGACCTGCTGGACCCAGTCTGAGGCCCAGACAGTTATCACAAGAGTTCTTCCCAGCCAGGTCCCGTGGAGGGCTCTAGCCCCAGTGGCAAGGCTCCTGTGACCCAGGTACTACGCCCTCCGAGGTTGTCTCCTCTGCAACTCCTTGAAGCTCTCTACAAAGGTCCCCCAGACTCGGACCCCAGGCCCCAGTACTGGCACGAACATCAAGGCTGTGATGTCCAGCACTTAGACTTGGACCACTTGCTCTGGAGACCTCGCCTGCCAGGCTTCAGCCCTGTGCCAGGTAGCCCTCTGCAGGGACCTGGGGCCAGACAGTGCTTGCTTTTCTGTGCTTCCTCCCTTGGGCTTCTGCCTAAGATCACAGTTCTGTCTCTTGCCCTTGGAACAGAGTTTAAAGTTCCTGGGGGGCCTGTTCCTGCTCCTTCACTGTACATGTGGGGAAACTGAGGCCTAAGAGGCAGCTCTGGTCCAGTTTCACAGCAAGCCTAACTTAGGCGGGCGAGGGGCTTCTGCCTCCCATGCAGGCCAAGGGGCCCTGCTGGCTCAGAGCAGACTTGGCTCCACCGTGCCAGTCCCTGCACAGCCTGGGAATGCACGGTGTGTTTGGTTTGGCCTCAAGGCCTTTTTGCCATGAGGCAGTTTTCCTCAGCATGAGCCTGGGAGGGGGAGGGATCTGGAAAAGGGAGCTGAGCTTTGTGAGCAAAATGGGACAGGGAGATGGGGTGGGGGCACTTCCCCCTCCCCAGCTCCACCTCATTTCCCTGGGACTCCCTCCAAGCAATAAAAACCCCACTCAAGCTCCAAGGGGGGAGTTTTTGTCTTCAGTTTTCAAAGTGTAAAAGAAAATGCCTTTGGGCACCTTATGAGACACAATTTTCAAGACTCCTCCTCGGTCTCGCCTTCCCAGCCCAGCCTCTTCTTGGGGCATGCCAGCCTGCTCCCCAAATCCACCCTCAACCTCCCAGCTGCTGGAGCCAAAGCACCAGGCAGCAGCAGGGAAGGGCTCTTTATGGACTTGTTGGGGTTGTGTGTGGTTTTTTTTAGTTTTTCATCTTTATTAGAAAAGAAGGCAGGATACTGAGGTAATGACCCCTGCCAGGCACAGGGGCCGAGGTCAAAGGAGGCTATGGGGTCCCCCCTCTCCCCAGAGCCTTCACCAGGAACCCCTTCTCATCTCCATCACCTGCTTTCTCATGGTTCAGGTGGGGAGACGGGGCCCTGTGCATCCCATCTCTTGGAAGAAACCCCACCTACTTGCAGCTCAGTGTGCCCATCATGCAGATGGAAACCAAAAAATAACACAGGCATAGCGCTGAGCTCAGGGTCTGCCAGCCCATACAAAGTGGTGAATAAAGGGGGTACATTATTAGCAAGAGAGGCACAGACATAGAACTAATAATGATGCTAAGAATAGCCAAGATCATCTCACACCTCCTAGGGACCAGGCAGTGTTCCAAAATTCTACACATCGAAACCTCGTGTGAGATAAGCCTGCCACACAATGAAATCAGTGAGAAATGTGCAAGAGTTGGTGGGAGCCATAACTACCAGCTGGCACTGGGGGCTGCAGGACATATAAAGTCCCTCAGGAAGGGAAAGGAGCCAGGTCTTCGAAGATGAACTGGACAGTGGTGGCAAGATGGGGTGTCTTTGGGGTGAGGGTCTTCCACACCCTGGCCCTGCCATCTGTTGAGGGGTGAGTTAACCTCTGTGCCTCAGGTTCTTCCTAAGAACGTGAACAGCCCTGCCTCTGCTGTCATGAGGAGGACTTCCTGATTATCCGTGGGACACTCACCCTCCCCCACCACATGCCTGCCTTCCCTGCCGTCCCACCTAAGCCTGATGGGAATCTCTGTGGGCAGGTTTGGCATGGCTTGGGTCTTGGCCCCCTTCTTCATCCCAGATCCTGTCCCTCTTAGCCACAGTTCTGTCACATAGCTCCCCTGATGCCTCTCTTCACCATACCTCAGTCATTGTCCCCTTTCTCGCTCAGTCCCTGGCCCCTGCTTCATCTGTGTCTCTCTTCTTCCTGCCTTTCCTATGTCTCTTTCCTGCTCCTCAGCCCCTACCCCTCCAGCTGCCCAAGGTCCCTTGTGCTCAGCCTGTCCTTCCTGCCATGTCTCCTCTTGTTTCTTTCTGCCTCCCTGTGTCCTCATTCTGTCATGTAAGCTTTCCTGAGCCAAATATCTTACCTGTCACCTTGACCCTGGCCTCCATGTTCGTGATCTGTAAATGACTCTCCATCTCACTAACACCGACACTCCCCGTGGATGGACCACCCTGTTTTCCTCAGCGGCCTGGGTGTCAGGTGCCTCACTCAGCCTGTTTTAGCTGCTGAAAAGGGCAATTGACCTCCTTGTGATGATTTGTTATGAGGCCCAGAAATGCTGTTTATAAAGTCCTGGACTTGGTAATCCTCAGTAAATTGTGGTTGTGACAAGCATGGTGGATCCAGCTGGGAGGTGAAGCAGCGGGGGCAGAGCCCCTGTGGGCAGGGGTGGAAGCTGAGTACCCCAGAGGTCCCAGAGCTGTCTCTTCCCTAACATTATGATTTTGTCCTACCTGAGAGTCATTCTTATAATCGATCCCAGGTGACCTAGGCCCGTCCCTGCATCCTGGCACAGGAGGGTGCACACAGCCTCCATGGGTCAGCCAGGGTGGTTCTGTGGCCATAGGTGGCTCATTGGGCATGTACATGCCCTGCCCCCTTTCCTCAGTACAAGCCCCAGAGGCAGACTCTGCCTGGACCGAAGAGGCTGACAGTCACTCTGCTATGTTTCCTCCCTTCCAGCACCACAGCCTCACCACCTCCACTGGCCCTCCAGCCCACCACTAGCTCTGGGACCGCCAAGCCCCCCTTCCAGCTCTCCGAGCAGCTCCAGCATCAGGACCCACCAGGGCCCACCAGCAGCTCAGCACCAACCCTAGGCCTCCTCGCAGCCGTGGCTGCCACCATTGCTGCCCCCTTTCTGCTACACACTCTTGGGCCCTCTTGACCTCAGCCACTGAGTGCAGAGAAGCCAGAGAAATCACGTGAGGGTCTGTGGCCACCCCTTGGCCCCCGCCTCCACCTCTGGGAGTGCCACCACCTCAAGGGCAGTCCAGACAGGACCCTTTAGAACACTAGAGCTTTATTGTACCCAAGTTACATCTTCTTTTTTGTAGAAGGTCTTAATTTCCCATAGTGCTATGGGGCTCTTTTGTAAAATATGTGTCCATATTAAAAGAGAAAAAATGTATTTATTCTACCGATAAAACTATTTTTATGTGGCCTATATTGTAACCCCTGAATTAGCCCTAACACCAACCCAAAGAGGAAATCAGGTTGCCAAGACATCTATGACCTGCCCGGCCCTGGCTTTGAACTGGCTTTTCTCCTGGATCTCCAAAGCCTCCTGGGTCAGGCTTGGCTCCCCCACCATGGGGATCTCCAAGGGTGGGACAGGCAGATGGGCTTAGCTTTTGTGAAGCTGGATATGGGAGACAGAGGTGGGAATGCTGCCTGTCCTGTGGATGCATCCTGGGGCCTGGAAGGGAACATGAGGAAAGAGAATGCTGCTATTACCAACCCTGTGCATCTGTGAACCAGCTCTCCAGAGCACTGGGTGAGTGTTTCGACCAAAGTGCAGGGGTGAGATGGGCGAGGCGGTGCCAGGTGTCAAGATTGGCAGCCCCCAGTCCCACAGAACAAGTAGTCACCCTGAAATTCAAAGACAGCAAGATGGGGCTGCTCAAGGTCATGGAGCTAGTGAACAGGTAGCTCTAGGCCTCTCTGTCCCACTGTCATCACTCCAGCTTGGATCAGAGGGTCTGTGGAAGTCATGGACGAGTGGAAGAGCTGGGCTAAAGGACAGGGGTGGGCACAGAGGCAATTCTAGGGAGGTGGCGGGGTGGGGGGTTGTGGTCACAGTGATGGCAGCACTGGTGGGAACAGCTGTGCATCTAGACCCTGTAGTATAGGTGCTACTTAGCATACTCGCTCCATCATGGCTGCTTGCACCAGTGCTGTGAAGTAGAATGGTTCCCATTTCCCATGTAGGGGAAAAGAATCCAAAGAGGCAAAGGGACTTGCCCAAGGTCACACTGCTTCAGATCAGGATGACACCAAGCGATGCTTGTGTTCTGGTCCATGTTGGACATAGTCTCTCTGCCCGGGGAAGCCCCCACCCGCTCTAGTACCAGCTCCCCAGGCCAGCCAAAGGCACTGTTCAGCCAGGCACTCCTGATGTCCTTGTAGCCAGTGAGCACTGGCAATAGCATGTGCTAGTTTTCTCACCCCCCAATTTGTCACATCTTGGATCCAGGAGAGGCTTTTCTGCCAAATCAAAGGGTAGAATGGGGCATAACCTTGGAGTCCCTGTGAGACCTAGCAACCAGTGGCAGGAGACAGACAGCATGGCCGGCATCTGCCTCCCTGATGAAAAGGCAGAATTCTGGGTAGTGTGTTGGATGGTCAGAGGTCCCACAGCCATCCTGGTGGGCAGCTCAATTCTTTCTAGCTCAACCCCAACGGACAAGCTTGAACCTGAGACCTGGCAGAAACCTGAACCTCTACTTCAGAGGGTCTAGCCAGCCCCATGGGCACCATCCTCTAAACCGAACTTGACCTCAGCCAAGGCTGTAGTCAGTTTATCCTTGGCAAAGAAAAAAACAAAATAACAAAAAAAAAAGTGACTTCCTATTTCTGAGCGGGACAGGGCTTAGTTACATATAAAGCAGGCTCGGAAGTTGGACATCAAACAGATCGTGCAGAGCGCCATTGGGATGAGCTAAGTGTAAAAGAATTAGAAACACACAGGCCAAATTCCCCTCTGTTTGGGCAAAGTACAGCCTGAGATGTATGGAGAGCAAGCTCGAGGTTAATTAAAGATGAAGTATTCAGGGAAGCAGGCCAGGCACCTGACTGTGTGCCCAGATCGGTGCCAGGCACAGGGCCAAAAAGATGAATTAACACAGCATGTAATTACTGTACACATGCAGTGCCAGGCTCGCTGCACACGGAGCAAGTGTAATCACCCCTGCTGGCCCAGAGAAACCCACTCACAAGATGGGACAAGCAGAGGTGTCCTAGGCTACACTGTCTTGGCCCCTGGCTTCCTGCTGATCTGGTTCTCCTCCTTCCAGATCCCTCCATCAGGCAGACTGAGGATTCCAAATTCTCCCTCTGCCAAACATTCAGTGTTTAAAGAAAGATGGATGAGCCAATGAATTAGACAGACGTGTGCTGAGCCAGTGTGGGCCAGACGTGTGGAGCCACAGTCCACTGACCCCAAGAACAGCCAGCTAGCCAGAGCCTGAGTGGAGCTCAGCTTGCTGACATTTGTCACAGGTAACCTGAGGCACCTAACAGGAATCCTCAGTGGGACATTAGGACCCACTCATCCTGTGTCAGAGCACCTCCCCTCTGTAAGCAGCCACCCCGACCTTTGGAATGTGCTGCCTGCCTCAGCTTGTAAAATGCCCCTATTCCTGTGAGGGCAGCATGTGTCTCTCTTAACACTTCCATATTTGACCTTGAGGCAGGCAGGAGAGACAGGAAGCCTGAGACCCAGCCTATTAAGTGACCTGCCTAAGTGTAGGCAGCATGTGCCCCAGGTAACTCTGCGTCCCCTCTCTCTCTCAGGAAAGCTGATGATAGCTCCTGGGCTGCTCGCAATGGCCGTGTCTCCAACAACTGGTCTCACAGCCCTGCAGCCAGTGAAAACAGGGAAGGCCTCATTAGTCACCACACAGATAAAGGGATCAGCCTTCCCAGGAGTCACAAAGGGCGGCAGAGGTTCTCTCCAGTGCTGAGTGAGAGACCTAGAGTCCCTCTGCTGGCTCTGGGCATTTCCTTCATGGTGAATGGCTCTCCGGCATCCTTTAGACTGGGAGAGCTGAGCAGCTCAGGCCACTCATCCCAGCAGCCCAGCCTCCAGATCAGTACCATTGTCACAACAGGTCTCAAGGAGGAGCAAAAAACTCTTCCACTAAGAGGAAGTACCGTGAAGGACAAGAGAAGTTTTACCCAGCAGTTGTAGCTTTGTTGGTGTCTTGTGCAGCACAGGACAGAATTGAGGCTGGGGTAGTTTTGGTGATGATGGCATAAGAGCCTAGCTGTTCCAGAGTCCTACAATGCAGCCCTACTAAGCATGCCAGCCGTGTCTCATCTGTCCCACCCTGTACCTGACTAAAAGGAATCATAGATGTCATTTCCACGCTAGACAGGGTGTTTTATACGTGCTGTTTCCTAGACTAAAGCTCCCTTTGTTTCCCTAACATTTTATCCTGTAAGGATCAACTCAGTGCTGTCCCAAGAAAGCCCCTGTGCTGCCTTTGTGCATTCTTGGCATCTCATAAGACCTAGTACCCACTGGGTGACTGTCTCCTTGAGAATCTGCTCCCTTGTGGGACTGCAGGTAACTTCATGGTAGACGTCATGTGGATTTGTCTTTGTAACCTCGCCCCACACAAAGGTGGTGCTCAAAGATGTGTAGACAAGGAAAGAGACTAAAGGAAGAAAGCCTTGATGGTAGGAAAGGAGAGAGGCAGATTTAGTTCTGCAGCCTGATAGCTTCCACCAAGCCCATGCTGGTGGAGGGCGGCACACTTCCTGTTGGTGCAGAGGTGCAAGCAGGGCCAGGAGCTCCCTGGCTGGAGATGCAGTAGCAAGTTGAAGTCTTGGCAAGGGACCGGTGTAGATGACATTGAGGGCGCCCCCTGGCTCTGTAAGGCTCAGGCTCTTTGAACATTGTTATTTTTCTAAAAATTCATCTACATAGCCAAAAATATCACCCCCGCTGGCTGGCTAAAGCAGCAGGGGTCAGGAATCAGTCCAGCCTCCCTGCACCCCACCTGCATTCTTCAACAGCCCAGCCAAACCTGGCCTGAGCTGGCACAGCTGCCTGCTGGCCCTGGCTAGGGGGACCCTGGGAGGAGGAGGAGTGCTGCACTGGAGCCTAGGTGCCACCACAGCCCAAAGCTCCTCCTCTCCCTGTCCCCTGACCTTGAGTAGAGAAGAGAAAGCTCACAAAAACCTGGCCTTTTCCATGGAGTGCCCCCATCCACACCCTTTCTCAAAGGTGAGCCAGACTGTTGTTCCCCAGAGATACTCTGGATTCTTTGCTTTGATAGGTGACCTTGGGCAAGTCCCTGCTCCCTGGGAGCTTCCACCTCTTCTGTCACCTGGAGACCTTGTTTCCTGGGGCTAGGAAGGAGGATGCTGGCAGAGTATGGAGGACCTGTGAAGGCGAGGTTTGAGCCTTCCCCAGGCTCAGGGCTAGGCTTCTGCCTAGGACCACAGGCCGTCCTTAACTGGGAGTCTCTGGCAGGCCAGCAGGATGACATGGCTTGCAGGCCCCTCCATTCCAATTCCTGCTGTGGGGAGAGTGAGCTTTGAGTGGACCCAGGTCTAAGATGTGTCCTGTGAACTGCCCAGGCAAAGGACTCTCAGAAGGGTCTCTGGTGACTAGGATGGGGAGGTCAGTGCTTGGCCACAGGAGGCTGCAGCCCCTTTCTGGGGCTCCCAGAGGTTGCTGATGGCCCCTGGCACACTACACTGTGCCAACCAGCTTTTGCTCTCAGTGTATCTGGAAGGTACTCGTGGTGTTGTTTAATCCCCTCTCCCCTCACCGCTGTGAATTGTTGTGAAGAGTTCTTTAAGAGTATAATAGAAGACAAAGAAAGATGCTATTAATGTTATTTTGCCAAAAATATTTTTGTAGCATAATATATTAATAAAAGCCATTACAAACTGGACAGCTTGGTGTTTCCATGTGCTATGGGATCCTTCCTCTCTCACAAGGGTGTTTGGGGGCTGTTCTGCTGCAGGGCCTGCAGCAGAGGTGCCTGCGATGGGCCCATTTCCCATGTGGACTAGAGCAGGGCCATGAGGGTGGTTTGAGAGGGGGCCTGATGGCTTGAAGGACCTCACACAAAGGTATAGGTGGCCCTTTCCAGCAGTGGGAGCTGTACAAATGCACTAAGACAGCTAAAACTTGGGATTCATTGTGGGGCCCCCTTTCACACACTCCCTCCCTCACCAAGGCCTGTGACTGTTCTGTAGCAACTCTATCCACCTCTCTCCACCTCATAGCTCCATCCCAGAGGCAGGCCATCATCAGACCACCAACAACAACCTGTTCCTCTTCCAATCCATTCTCTGCCACGTTAAGTGAGCTCTGCAATCAACAAAAATGACCACATCTCTCCCTGCTGTGAAAATTCTTCTGTCTTCCAGTACTATTGACAAAGGACACAAACCCTTGAGAACCTGACCCCCTGAACATGTGTCCAGCATCAGTCATCTCTTGCCACTCCCTCTACTAGAATCTAGTGCTTCAGAGTGTCTTTCCAAACTCCCAAAGTGCTCCCAACCCTCCCACCCCTTCCCTGCTGCTCCCTGGTCCTGCCAGGAGCCTACACATTCTATATGACCTGGTTCTAGCACTACCACCTCCACAAAGCTTCCCACTTCCCCAGCTATTCGCACCTACGTACCCACAGCACTGTGCCTGTTGCAAACACCTGACTGAGGTGATCTGCATGGACTTGCCATCCCCTTGGCTTCCCTAGCACGGGGGCTGACATCCAGCACACAGACACTGTGCACACTGGGCACTTGTGGAAGAATGAAAAGTGATTGAAGAAAGAAAGGGAACCAAAGGCTTCAGACAAAGCAGAGTCCATATTTTACATCATGTCACAGCCCCTCATCACTGAAATGCCAGCTCTTGGGATCTATACAGTGTCCAAGTGCAACTTCTACTAGGAACAGTCCCTAGAACTTAGCTTCAAGGGACAGCAGGTTGCTGAAATTTTGGAGTAGGCAAGGTCTCTCTGTTGAGTATTTATTATGCATCAGGCAGTGCTCTGACCATTTAATTCTAGAGTCATTTAATTCTCACAGCTGCTAATCCTTATCCCCACATTACAGATGAAATAACGAGATATAGAGAGGTTAAATAACCTGGCTGTGACCACACAGCTTGTAAATGTTGGAACCAGGATAAGTCAAGCACCGAGCTGATTCCCTTTCACACCAGCTAGTCTGTGCTACCTTGTATGAACTGTGACCTGTGAGTTGGGTAAGGAAGATGTTGGAACCCACATTTCGCAGGTCAGGTAGGCAAAGGCCCAGAGCTTTGTTCCACCCCACAAGTGGACATAGCTCTAGAGGGAAAGCCTTGCCCTGCCCCTTGCTGCACAAAGGCCTTCCAGGGTGTCACTAGTGGCATGATGTTCCTGCAGTGGCTCAGCACTGCCCCTCCACACCAGATGCTCCCAACACCCACCTGCCCAGGAGCTCAGGGGAGAATGATGCCTAGCCTTCCTTGGAGGCCATAGTCTCATCTCCAGGACTCCCTGAAGGAGGAGCTGCAGCTCGGGGATGGGATCTCAGAACGGATGGGTGACTAGGGACAAGGGCTGCCTCTGAGTCCATAAGAACTGCTCTCTAATGACAGCAGGTAGCACGGGGGAATACCAGTGTCTGCCTAATAACCAAGGGGGGTTGCATTTCTGCCCTGGAGCCTGCTCAGCCTCTTGGCCCTGCTCACAGTCAGTGCCTCCTGAAATAAGAAGTCAGAGTTGGCCTCCATGCCAACTCTTTAAATGACCTCCAGCCCAGAGCTGGGCCCTGGGTGAGGGTACATGGAGGTCTGCTCGGTGAAGAGGAGAGCTGCCTGAGGGGGAACTCCACCCTAGGCTGGCAGGCTATTTCAGTGGGTCTCCACCTCTGACTCTCTCTCTCACCTGGCTTGTCATCCCTTCTATGTCTTTACCCCTTCGCCTCCACCTGCACATCTAGGGATCTGCAGTCTGTCCCTGCAGGGGCACTGCCAGGGTCTTACAGAAGACAGATTCCTGGAATGTGGACTATGACTTCCTGACCCCCAGTCCTAGTAGACAGATATTGTGTGTGACCATCAAGAAAAATTTTGTCTTTTGCTCCTACAAAGCAGAGAAAGAGAAAAGTGTGATCATTAGTCATGTCAGCTGGACTGTGTTAAGAAATTCCCAGGGAATTGGTAAGGTGCTCTTCTGGGTGAACCTGGGTGGGTCAGGGAGAGCTAACCTTGGGTACTACATGTGCTCCCTGGTCCCTTCTTCTGGTCATTGCTCTCCTGCTCTCCTTCCCCAGTAACATGAACCAAACATCTTTGTTCTGTTTTTCTTCTGCCCTGGAGATAGCTACCATGAACTGAATCCACTAAAACTGTAAGCCCAACTGAACTGTTCCTCTTATACTCTGTGGGTGTTTGGCACTGTGTTCAAATAATAGGAAAGTGGCTAAAGCAAAGATGACTCCAGTGGCAGAAGAAAGAGAACACCCAGGTTTTTGTTACCATTGCGAATCCTAAGGTAAGTCAGCCTATAAAGAGCAAAAGTTAGTATGACTCAGTTTTGGAAGTTTCAGTCCATTGCTGATTTAAGGCCTTGGACTTAGGCATTCAGACAATCCCACTGCTTTGGGGCTGTGTCAGTAAAGCACTTTGGGGAGCACTGTATAGCATAACACAGCTCTCACTTCATGCCTTAGAAATAAGCAAGAAAGGGGAGGAGCCCTGACCTCACAATCCCTTTTGAGGGCACACCCCAGTAACCTCCCATTTGGCTTATTTATAGACAGTACCATACTGGGGATCGAGTTTTTAAATGTGGGTCTTTGGGGGCCTACTTAAGATGCAAACTGCAGGTAAGGGTCAGTGATGCATGCCTGTAGCCCCAGGACTCTGATAGGCTGAAGCAGGAGGGTTGAAAGTTTGGGCCCACCTTGGGCAATTTGGCAATTTAAGGAGGCTCTGTCTCAAAATTAAAAAGGACTAGAGATGTAGCTCAATGAAAAGCTTGGTTCAGTCTCCAGTACTGGAAAAAATAAACAAAATCCAAGCTATAGCAAAAAGTGAGGAACTGGATAGATAGAATGAAACTGAAGGAAGTGGAACAACCTCTCCTCCGTGGGGAAAAAAGTTGCAAGTGGACATTTCCACACATCAGCCATAAGAAGCCCAAAGCCACCTTCCAGGCCAGTCTCCAGCAATCTCCTGCTGTTAAAGAGCTGGGACCAGGAGCTATACAAGGGGCTCATTTTCATGTCCAAGTGAGCCCGGGCATGCAGAGACCACAAGTTCACTGATGGAGCTAGAGGCCAAGGTCACTGTGCATGAGCCCCCAGGTGATTCACAAACTCTGAGAGGGCTTCAGGTCCCAGCCAAGGAGTTGGTGTCTAAGTCAACCTTAGCCAGATACTTCAGAGTGGGAAACTCTGGGCACATCTGTGCTGTGGATAGACAGGAATAATGAAGTCAGATCTTCCAACTGGGCTGGGGGATGGCAGCTCCACGGCTCTCTGAGTCAGGCAGGAAATCCTCCTACCTTGCCTTCTTCTAGCATCACCATGGTGGAACAGAAATCAGGCCATATGGTGGGTGGGCATGGGCATGGGCTCCAGCTGCTATTCACCCAGCCTATGAGCCCAGGCAGTGAGGCTGGCCACCGTTATGGCATCATAAAATAAAATTATTCTCAGAGAATTTTCATAAAATCTCTTTTTATGTCAGTTGGTTCTGCACTTGCAAAAACAGTTCTTCTGTTTCCTTTTTTCTTATTTTCCATTTCTCTCTGACCAGTCACAGAAAGAAAGAGATAAATTTTTCAACCTGAAAATTCACATTCCAGACAAGAAAGGGCTGAGGACTCTCAGGCTCCCCATATGTTTTCCGTCACCTCTTCCCAAGGCACCAGGGACTTGGGGATTCAGGAAGGTTGGGAGGGACCAGCAAGATGGTGACTACAGCATACAAGAAGAGGAACACAGGGGGGGATAAGGTAGAAGAAAAAACTTTCATGTTAAGATGGATAGAGAGGGCCGGGGAGATGGCTCAGTAGAATAAGCGCTTCTCTGGCAAGTGCAAGGGTCTGAGTTCAATCCCTGGTTCAAAAAAAAAAAAAGATGGATAGAGAGAAGTTGGGACAGAGGCAAAGGGACAGAGAAAGACAGAGAAAGAGGGGAATGAAAAGAGGCAGTCAGAATGGGCCTGGGGATGGGTGGAAGACAGAAAATCACAGATGAAGGATGGTTGAGCACAGACAGAGAACTCTTCAGTCAGAACACAGAAGGGTCTCAGTGGGAACAGGGAGGCCTCATCTTGAATTCCCAGCCTAGCTTAGGCCAGGGTTGACATAAGCTGCCTCCTCCTCCAAGGACACCTGGAAGCAAATAGCCTCCAGGACTGAACAGGCTTCCCAAATTCAGTAAGGCAGCCCCTCACTCTTGGGCCCCTTACCATAGAGGCCCTGGAACCTTTCCCCTTTCATTTTCCTATTCTCTATAGTAGTGATCATATATGACTTTTGGCAGAGTTTGCACGGAGGTTTTAATGAGATAATGACTATAAAAGGTTTGAAAACTGAGGCTGACTTTGGCAGACTCTGGGCAGCCTGTGGGACTCTGGTAAGTTCTTCCTTATCCCCCAGCATGCAGATGTGGAGTTTCTGATGGTGCTGGTCCAAACTTTTAGGAACTTAAGAGGACCATGAGTGGCCTGCAGGATGCAGGAAAGCTGTGATTTGTGGGCCCAGTGTGCACAGGTGCTGAGCTTTGCTGGTACCACTTAAGAACTTTGGCAGACACTGGGTGGCCTGTGGGACTCTGTCTGGGTGATTACTGGGAGCTTCACAAATTCCAAAATGCAGGAGTCAAAGGCAATCTCAGTCCTCTAGTCCAACCA